TTATCGCAAGTACTCCGCTCTACAGTCACATCACCTCACCTACCACATACAGCTGATAACAAATCATCCCTACTTGACCTCATACTGACAAGTGAGGAGCACATAGTGGACAGGCCATTTACAGACACTATCCAAGGGCTAAGCAATCATGTCACCATACTTTATAACTATATATGTTACGCTGCATATCCTGAGGAACACACAGGACTAACAAGTACTATCAAACATTACAACAACCTGAACGACCTAGTTGAGATGATCGATTGGAAATTCTCGAAAGGTGGTGCACCTGATAGCGCCTAGATTCAGTTTGTTGGACGATTCAGCATCCAATTGCAACTGCTTCAAAAAGGAAGAAGGATCGCCCCATTAATCCCTCGTCTTTCATCAAAAGTAGAAGCCGCAAGCGCATGTCACTAAGGAATACAGCTGGGCACACTTACCGAGCTCGTCCTGTCCGAAACCTTGGGCAATTATGTGACCCAGCGCATCCATTGTAACATGCTTGTCCGTGAGGACAAACTGATTCACCAACATTTGGCCTGTACATTTTCCAGCTACTAAAAGCTCCTATACAGGCATCTTAACACCATGCCAGAAAGTGAAGCTCGGTATCTCCCCACATAACACGCCAGTCGGAGTGGCTCTGGGCTGAAGAAGAATCAAACGCCCTACGAATGCAGGATGCCCCAACATTCCAAATAGACGCCCCCCACTGTTGCATACCTACATACCTAGCCTGAATTTTAACACCCACTAACCTCGATTTGGCTGTCACCGCAGTGTTAAGGAAACTGCTCTCACTGCGCACCTACAGCTTTCCCGGAATCGATTATATTCACTCGATGTAGGTAAACGTAACAGCAACAACGCTGGCCAGGCCATTATGGCATTTTTACCAAACCTGCTTGTATAAGCAAATTATGCCTACCATGTGGAAACATAGCTTACTCACACTAATTCTCAAAAGAAGTAATCGCTCGGAGCCCGCCAACTATCGCCCAGCGTCATCCCTCCCTGTGCTCTCTAATTTGACGGAGACAATCATCGCTGAAGCTTTACTATACGATCCAGAACGTCACAATATCATGGCATCCGAGCAACACGGTTTCCGCCAACACCGTTCAGGCACTACCAACCTACTGGTTGCACGCAGTAGTTGGACCGAAGCGGCCGATGAAGGTAGAGGGACAGACGCCATTTACTTCAACTTCTCCAAAGCTTTCGACCGACTGGACCACCGCATTATGCTTCACAGGCTCAAAAGCTATGGAGTTGGTGATCCTGTCTTTGGGTGGTTCAGGACTTTCCTGCAGGATCGGCAAATGTAGGTCGGAGTTCGAAGTGCGCTATCCGATCCTATTTGTGTCAAATGTGAGGTTCTAGCAGGATCAGTTCTGGGGCGGCTTCTGTTTCTCTTGATCGTTAACGAGCAACGCGTTTGATTGCCTCAGGTTACTTGCTGTTCGCTATTAAGATCCGGCGGACGACCGCCGACCCAGCAGTTCACAATGCACTTCAGCGAGACCTCGGCAGAGCGTATGGGTGGTCACTCCACAATCTGCTCCAGTTCAATTCGGGGAAGTGCAAAGTGGTTCACATTCACCAAGAGCCGAACGTTACATACAAGCTTGGAGACCATGTCCTGCAAGCAGGAAGAAAGGAACATGACCTTGAGGTACTAGTCCAGGCTGATCTGAGCTGCTCAAACAACTTGAAAAGGCGTCAGATAGTAGGAACCAACACGTTGGCATGCTGCTGATGGCATTTGGGCAGTTTGATACCTCTGGCTATTCGCAGTTGCTTAACATCTACGTGCGACCTCATGTGGAATAAGCAATTCAAACCTGGTAGGCGTGGCACTAACAAGACCTTGCAGCGCTCGAGACTCCACAGCGACGAGCTACGAAGCACGTCAAAGGATTGCTCAGTCTCCCTTATCAACTTAGGCTGAGGACCGCTTAAGTATACAGTGGCCGGTACCGGCACCTACGTGGTGACCTCATTATGGCCTAACAGCTTCTAAGGAATCCAACCACATTTGCCGCCAACTACTACATCTGAGCCACAACGCAAATTTGAGGAGCTATCAGTTCAATTTAGCCACGTAATACACTTGGCTAGAATCTCGACGAAACTTTCACTCTTTTCGTGTGTGCCAGCCATGGAACCCCCTCCAAAATAACATTGTTTCCGCATCCAACTTTACCTGAATTTAAAAAGGCCTTGACATTGCCCTAACCCACTTACACTGCAACGTATAGCCTGCGTGCTGTGATAGACGATATAATGCAGGGCAAATTGTCCAATCAGAATTAACCTACACGATTGAGGTTGGCCCTTTCTGCATGCATCTGTGTTAACACTGTGGTGAGTTCACAAAAACGACTTTCATTTTTATTTAAAGTAGTTAGTTCCCTTCAGAAATTTGAAAAGCACGGTAAGAAGACGAAAACTGGTAGATGCATGCATTTCGTATTGTCTCCTCAGTACCATTAACAATAACCGATATGCAACTATATACTTAAATATGCGTGTGACTGAATAAGCATGAGGTGCAAAAGGAATGACGGAAGTTCCACCCCCTATGTCCACGGCAGTCTTAAGCTGATAAGTAATTGCTTTTGAACACACAGGGCCGGCTTCATCCGGCTTATCGCAACGGCTTCGGCGAAACGGAGGAAGCGGAGATTAGGGTGACGTAATACAAGTGTGAACGCTGATCCAAGCTCTATCCAGTGACGCGCAGTCAGTAGGTGTTTACCTATTGAGGAAGCTGGCGGCTTGCGCAAGCACGGAACTTCAGTGGGACAGGGATGCTGGTCAATTTCACGTTGAACCCACCTTGGCACGTGTTCCTTTATTCGGGAAGTCAAAGACCGATTGGTTCTGCCTATGTAACTGTCTCCGCAGTCGCACACGAATTTGTAAATGCAGTGTGAGTTGGCCCCTATCGGTTGAGCTTCCTTCGTTGGAGGCACCGGCAAGTTACAGGTTCTATTGATAACCACAACCTGAGCAGCACAGTAACTTCTCTGCGTAACAGAGATTAAACGTTTCGTGGTTTTCAATACAGTAAGGTAACCCTTAAAAGGCAACTTGATATAGATCTTTTTTTTGGTTGCCGTATGCACCAGGTCTTTCGGGCCTCGCTGTTGGCTATGTCTCTCTATAAATCTACGTGGATAACTATTCGCAACGAGTGTTGTTGTAATTAACTCTAGCTCGTCGGCTAGACAATCAACCGAGCGAATTCGTCTAGCACGACTAACTAAAGTTTTCACAAGGGTCCGCTTTTACCGCACTGGTGTGAAGCTGGTGAAGTGCAGGTATTGGCCGGACCAGGTTGCTTTTCTGTAGATAGACCTTCTAATGAGCCCATCATCTCTGCGACTGATGAAGATGTCTAAGAATGGCAGACAGTTCTTCTGTTCCACTTAGCAGGTGACCCGCAAGTTGATATGTGCGCAGTTGAGTTGCTGCACCAACTGGACAATCTGCTGCTCCGATGAACAAAAGGCCAATATGTCATCCACATAACACTTATAGTATGTTAACTGGGCTATTTCTGTGGATATGCCTCTTTCTATCATCAGCATGAAGAAATCGGCAAGTACAGGGCCTAGTGGGCTATCCATTACCACACCATCGATTTGACGATATGATGTGTTCTGAAAGTGGAAACCAACAATTGCTGTACCCAGTAGTAAGGATTCCTTTAGAAGTTCGACTGGAATTGGTAAGGAATAACTAGAGTGCTCAGCTAGCTCACATATGTACTCAACAGTTTGTTGTAGTGGGACGTTGGTGAATAGAGATTCCACATCCAAGGAACACATGATCTTATCAAAGACGTTGATGTCATATAAGTCACCGATAAGTTGAAAATAATCTGTAAGACTATATCACTGTTTTATATTTACCAGGTTGTAATTCTCATTCTGGCAACCCTACGAGATTTTCTAAGCATGCACGTTTTTATCCGTAATATACTATAGTTCCATTCTTTCTTTTGTTTAATATTTGATTATCAGCAACCACAGAATAATTTTGAAAAATTAATCGATCGACAAGCACTCAAAAATAGTTTGGAAGCTGTTCTGAAAAACGATTTCAGGAATTATCAGCTGTCCCATGCGTTTTCGTTGTACATGACAATCAGAGCAATCAGTTAGGCTGTTCCTCATACCAATGCGAGATATACCCTTTGTTTATTTATAACGACTATAATCATAATGAAAAAGAGACTCGGTAACCATTTCAAGTGAGGTCCGAAAACGTCTAACACCTACCTTCCAAAAGCCTGGCTTTCGCCCCTACCATCTAATGACTTGCTGTTTTATGAATCGCATGCCTATCGCCCATACAAGTGCATGGTTACTCTTGTTTAAATTGATCTGACACATTTCCTCGGATCATGAAATATACACGCATTATAATTAGTGTCATTTTCGATTTCATTGAAGCAATGGTATATGATGGGTCTAAAATGCAACGCTTGACATGTCCCGTGGGATGGTTGGCGATAAAATTACAACGAACGCTGCATAACGAATCACGAAGACGGTGACGGCTGACAAGAGGACGGTCACTGCGTCGTCACCGGACTGTTGTGTTACCTGAAGTAGTCTTGCTCGCCATGGTGAATTGAGTTTGGGTGGCGGACGATGCGACACAAGCTAGCCTCTTTCGGTTGGATTCCGATTGTTTGGTATATGGATTCCGATTGTTTCAGGTCATCTAGTACTTCACCTTTGATAGTGTTTGCCTTTGACCCAGGCACGTTGGAGCAGATTATCTTCATCGAGTTTTGCGTCTTCTTAGTGTAAGCAAGATAGTGCCTCCTTTCACAGTACTAAGTTCCACTGGATCGGTACACTGTCGAACTTGTCTATTAGATGGGTGACATAAGTCTTGTATTTTTACGTGACTACTGCAAAGTTCCGAAAATAGATTATTCATCTTGGGACCGCCAGCCACCGCTAAGGAAAAATCACACATGAGTTGTCATTGTTTATTGCAAGGTAAACAGAACTACAACGCATTAATTGCGCATCCAAAATAATGCTTAGCTTCTCAAAATTCATATGGTCGGTATACTACTCGCGATCAAAGTTGGACGGCAAGGCCGACTAAGACAGGGTTATTTGTCTCCGTAAAAACACCCAGGAGCCAAGTTGCACGTCGGACACTGAGGAGGGATCGGGCACAACACTTCAGGCTGCGTCAGAAAACTGACTCCTAGGGTAAGCGGCATTGGCTATCCAGCTGCATAGCAGTTCTGTTGTGTCCCGGCATCATAGGGCAATTCTCCGAGAACGTTGCCCCTGTTGGATTAAGCGAGAGATGATCAATTGAAATTACGCCATGCGCTAACAGCTTAGTCCTATTCAATATCTGATGTCTCTAGAATTTCAAGGTGGATCATTCTACTGCAGTCGCACAAATAATCGCATTTGGATAGAATATAATGATTGGTAGTAGTAGTAGTAGTAATAATAATAATAAAAATAAAGACGGTATCCTCAGTCTTTACCTTGGTCAGAATTAAGACCGAAGAGGCAACAAGAAAATTGACCCATGTGCATTAGCTGACGACGGCGCACCAGTTACGTAATCGGCTAACGCATGGTTTTGCGTTTTACCTTCGTTGACTAATGGTGAGCCGTTATACTTTGTGGCTACTTTGTATCTTGCCTATAAAAGCGTTCGATTTTTAAAGCAATTTGTTTATACTGAAATTCGGTCTTTGATCACCTTCCATACGGGCTGGCCGTTAAATCGCGTACTGGAGTTGAGCTTGCATTTGCTCGATTGACCTGTCGCGCCCACCCCCTACATAGTAGCGAAGTTACGTGTTTTTAACCATTTTTTGTTTGAGTTTCTTTAGAACACTGCTGGATACGCTTGATTGTTCATTTCCAGCTAGCTGGCAAATGGTACTTTGGCATATCTCAACGGTCTAGTCACCTTTTCTTAATCCGAACGCTATCATAATGATGATGCATGCCAACAGGAAGTTTGTACAAACACCACCAGGCGTAGGGAGCGTCAAGTTTATGGATGGCGGGAATTTGGAATTCGGATGCTGTGTTTCTGGTCTTCTAATGAATACCTCGCTGACGCTTCACACTTGTTCTGATTCTTGGCATGCACTAACGCATTATATTGTGTTAGGCAGACTTGCACTTAGTACCCCTCGTTTGATTGGCCGGATAAGATACTGCACTACACTAATGAGCAACTAATTTATTTATTTTTTTAAAGAGCAACTAATAGGAAAAACACTGAATATAATCCTAAGAATAACCTTAACTACGGCCCTATAACAATTTTCAATATCATAAAACAATTTGGATCCAGCAGTTTGAATGTAGGCTAAGCGGAAACTAACCCACCGCTAAACGGCCGTATTCGCGTGTTTCATGACCAACGAAAATGACGCTCTTCCAGGCGTAGGTAAACTTGCAGTGCTCTATGTCGCGATGTACCTTTCTACTGTGTGGGTAGGTATTCACATTAAATTACCAGAGTGAGCTGCGTTAACAGCTTGTTTTCTAAAACTCACGGGCAATGTCGGTATTCAGCAAAGCAAAGAACCATATTTCATTAATATGAAAAATATCAGAAACCAGTTCAGGGTGAAGAATCCTTTTCGGTAAACCCTCATCAGACCAAAACGTTTACAATGAACAATGAATTTATACGGGTTAAGAAACGTTGCTTTACAAGTCCCGTCGGATAGTTGATGGGGATATCAACGTAACAATAATGACGATAAGGATAGTAAAATAGTTAATACTTTAAATATGAAAATAAGGACTTATCGTTTGCTTCGCTGCAGTCCTGCGATCCTCTTAGATTCACAGCACCAACGGTTAACAACAAATAATTCCATGGTATACTCCAGGTGTACGATGGAGACATAGTGTTAGGTGACAAAGTGTAAGTGGATGAGTGCTTCTTCCAACCGTCTTTTAAATACTGTTAGTGTTGGTGCAGAGACGATCGATTCTGGGAGAGCATTCCAAGGGTGACAGACACGAATGGAAAAGAAATTTCTGCGGCACTCCAGACGACTGTATTGTTCTACGAGTTTTAATGATTTGTCCCTCATTTTTGTATTGCTGCTGAGTTGCAGTAAAGTGCGGCACACATGGTGTCTGTCTCGCAGAATCAAGTATGCCATAATCAGGTCGCCTCGTAGTCTGCGATAGCTTCCACTGAACAATCCCAGTAGTTGCAGCCTCTCCTGGTAGGAAAGATTGCGCATTCCAATTACGTTCTTAGATGCCCGGCGTAGTGGCTGCTCCAGTGCATTAAGGTTGTGTTTCAGCCATGGATGCCAGGCTTGAATTGCGTATTCGACATGGGGGCGAACATATGCACTGAGCATTTGTCGAAATATGGAGCTGTTTATTTGTCCAAACGTCCGCCTCAACAGCCCGACGTGTTGGTTCCCGGTCTTCGAGGCCTTTTCGGATTGCTTGGAGCAACCCAAGTCATCTGGAACCATCACACCCAAGTCACGTTCGAGAGTTGAATGTTGCAGTACATCCGTTCCGAGTCGGTATGAGTAGCCGTTTTGATGTCGGATGGAAAGCACCTTGCATTTACTGACGTTGAAATGCAATAAGTTTTAGGTCGACCATTGATGAACCGTATCTAAATCACTCTGAAGCACATGTTGGTCGGCTTTCGCCTGGATCCTGCGCCAGATCTTGATATCGTCGGCAAACATTAGGAAGTTTGAACCGATTCCCTGTGCAAGACCATTAATAAACACCAAGAACAAACGTGGACCTAGAACTGAGCCTTCCGGCACACCACACTCGACTTGTATGGGATCCAATAAAGAGCTCCGAACTCTGAACACTAATTTTACGTTGATGTAGAAAGTTGGCGATCCAGCTTAAAAGAGGGTCTCCAATCCCGTAATGCTGCAGCCTTGCATAGTAGTATCCGATGGTCTAGACGATCGAAAAGCTTGGAAAAATTCAGGTAGATCACATCGACACCTTCTCCAGCGTCGGCTGCCTCGGTCCAACTACTGCGTGCAATTAGTAAATTAGTTGTACATGACCGCTGTCGACGGAAACCGTGCTGTTCAGGAGTGACGAGGTTGCAGTTTTCCAAATAGCACATCAGTGCATCGGCAACTATGGATTCCGTGACCTTGGAGAGCATAGGAAGAAGGGATATTGGGCGGTAGTTAGAGGGATCAGTTCTGCTTCCACCTTTGTGAATCGGGGTTATTATTCCAAGCTTCCACATGGCGTGAACTTGGTTCTGGTCTAAGCAGCGCTGGAAAAACTGAGCTAAAGGTCCTGCCAGTTGGCTTGCTGCTGCTCCCAATGCATCTGGACGAATGGCGTCGACACCCGGCGAGCTGTGTTTGCGTAGAGAAGTTAACTTTTGCATTACAGCCTCTGCGGTAAAAGTTATATGGGTTCGTCCTGGCGAGCAGAAGGCAAAGCTTGGAAAATCGCCTGGTGGCAAGACTCTTTGAAACGTGGGGGCGTATTGCATCTGCAGCACGTTTGCTGCTTCCACAGCCGTTCTTGTTGGGCCATCAGCCGTTCTGATTGGAGGAAATCCTTTCGTAGGCTATTAACGTGCTTGTACACCGATTGTCAGGAAAGCGTTAACTCGGGCTGGGATTGACTTCTGGACTGTTTGAATGATCAAAATCGATTACTTGACACAGGGATATAGATGGTAAGCCAATTAAACTAAATAAACATGCATACACAAAGCTCAGTAGTCCGAAGTAAGTAAGTAGGTAAGCTAACAACCAAATAATTAAGTTTGCATGTTTGTGAGTAGGGTAAAGATTGTAGAAAGTAGAAGTCACGATTAAAATTCACGCACAATAATGTGCCTCGACGCGGAATCGAACCCCGGTCCACGAATTTCCGGTCCGCTGCTCTACCACTGAGCTACCGAGGGCTGACAATTAGGTGTGCAAATTTTAACACATGACTTCTGCTTGGTGCGCGACGTATTGCCAACGGGCTCACAGTACCTGTCCTGGTGTTGGAGATTGGCTCACTCACCTGTCACTTCCGAATGGGCTGAAGTATCTGTCCTTCGAATGTCCAATGGGCGATAGTAGATTAAATTTGGATGTATGTGAACATTTGGGCATTCTGAAGCTTGCTCTCGTCACTGAGGGTGTGCTGCATTTTATGGATGTACTCCACCCTATCCATAAGCACTATGCCGGATCTCTTGTCTGACTTAGAGATCATTAATTCGTTGTTTAACCGTAGCACTTTAAGTGACTGAATTTGTTCCCTAGTGATAATACTATTACTAGATGGTTTGGTCTTAACGTATTCATGACAACTATGAACTAGGCTTGAGTTTAAATTCTCAACGTCCTTTGATGTGGTTGGAAGCAGGTCTTTAGTCTGAGCAATTAGCCTTTAAACTGCACCGCTAAAGCCGCCTGATCTATTTTCTTACATAGAATGCAAAACTTTAGACTTAATGATAACACATTCAGCTGCTTCTGGGTTAGTATCACACTTGAAAGGTTAAACACATATCGCTGCGGGTTATTCGGAAATGTCAACTGGGGGACATAGCTATAAGGCATACCAACTTCTTTTGTTTCCTTAATTCCATTTTCTGTTTAACCAGTTCTACATACTTGTTAAATATTCAGCTCACCTTCAATGGTGAAATGTATCGTCAAATTGACGGAATGACCATGGGATCTCCTTTGGGGCCGCTGCTGGCTGATATTTTCATGGCTAAATTGGAACCTGGCCCACTTGCAACGCACATACGTACAACCGAAATGTACCTACGGTATGTCGACGACAGTTTCGTACTTCGCAAATCCAAAAAGTATGCGGAACAGTTGCTGAAAGCTTTCAGTGACGCACACGCTAATCACCACTTCACCTGTGAACACGAACTCGGAAACCGGTTACGCTTTTTGGATGGAGAAGTTATCCGTAACTCGGACGGATCATGCAGCAGAAAGGCACACAGAAAGCACACATGGACTGGGTGGTATACTAACTTCGACAGCGCAGTACCTCTACAGCATAAGCGGAGTTTAATCAGATCTCTCGCCTTCAGGGCGTGCGGTATTTGTACTTTGGATACCGTCAACGAAGAAATACAGAGAATCAGCGACACCCTCAGGGAAAATGGCTATCCTGATAAATTTATCATGAAGTAGTTGAAGGGACGCAATCGAAAGCCAATTAGGAATATTGCTTCTAAGAAACTTGCAATGAGTTCCCCGCTAGGACCATTCCTCATTATTGTTTACATGGGTATGTTGGAACAGGGTAAATTGAAAGCGGTCATCAGCAGCCTCACGTTATATCACCGTTACGTAGATGACATCTTCGTCCTACTTGACACCTCCGGTAATATCGAGAAGCTCACCAGCGTATTTAACCCAGCTCACAAGGCTATACAATTCACCTACGAGGTAGAAGAAAACGGCGCTTTCCATTTTCTCGATGTAGCTCTACAAAGACTTGAAGATGGTGCGATAAAACGTAGCGTTTACCGAAAGTGCACTTGGAATGGACAGTACACAAACTTTCATAGCTTTGTGCCGCTTCGGATTAATAGAAACTTGGTCCTCAGTCTCGTGAACCGGGCCGAAACCATGTGCTCGAAGGATACTCTTTTCGAAGAGTTGCAACTAATACGAGCGACACTAAAAGAGAATGGCTTCCCAGAGAATTTTATTAATGCGAATATAGGGCGAAACAGGGAAGCACCTTTGGTCCTGACGGCGGAACGGAAACCTATTTTCCTACAACTGCCTTACAAAGGGGAAATAGTATCCGAGAATCTATCCCGCCGTCTCACGTCCACACTCAGGAATACCTTCCCAGCGGCGAGGTTGCAAATCTGGTTCACCAGCAGCCCAATGGTGAGACTAAACCTCAAGGATAAGCTGCCTGTCCACACTAAATCAAGGTGTGTATACTCATTTACCTGTTCCTGTGGGGCAGGATACGTTGGTCGTACGACAAGACGCTTATCCGAAAGGGTGAAGGAACACCATCCGGCCTGGCTCGGAAATGGAGGCCGAAAGATCACCAACTCTGCCATCGCCACGCATCTTGCGGATACGGGTCACGCCACCAAGTCGGCTGACTCGTTCAAAGTAATCTATCAGGCCCCAGAAAATCGATCAAGGTATTTCCGTAAGCGGATATTAGACGCCGCAGAAGCCATCGCCATTCGGCTGTACGAACCAGCACTGTGCACGCAGAAACGGTTCACACACGCGTTGAGTCTACCTTGGCCAGGACGGACTGCAGTTGACCTGTACGCACGTATGAATACAACTGTAACCTAACCGAAGGTGTGTCACAGCGCACTAAGTTCAATTTGGTTGACTGACGACCCGTTGGGTCTGTATACTAAAAGTTTGCATTTCATGTAATTGTACAAGCCTGATGAAGAATTACCGAAAACATATGTTCGCTTACACAGATTTCTAAGAAAGAGCTTTTCATACACATACTCTTTAAGGGTGATTCTGCAGCTGTTATGTTATCCCGACGTCTGAAAGATGCTGTTGGGAAGACTTATTTCGCGGCCCGCCTGAGCATCGTTTTTCACAACAAGCCGTTGCTTACAAAACCCTTGAGGGATAGACTGCTCTCGTTGACCCGTTCAATGATCGTTTATCAGTACTCGTGCTTCTGTGGTGCACAATACGAGAGTCGCACGACCAGGTGCCTATCTCAGAGGATACGTGAACACATTCCGGCTTCCGAGAATGACTTCAAAGTCATCTACTCATTACCTGAACATTTCTCCAAAGGATTCCGCAAACAGATATTATCCATCACCGAAGCTATCTACATTCACCGTCTGAAGTCGGAATTATGTGTACAAAAACGATTTATACGGCCGATACTACTACATTAGCAAACTGACACTGTTACTTAATTATTTGGTTGTTATCTTACCTACTTACTTACTTCGGACTACTGAGCTTTGTGTATGCATGTTTATTTAGTTTACTTGGCTTACCATCTATATCCCTGTGTCAAGTAATCGATTTTGATCATTCAAACAGTCCAGAAGTCAATCCCAGCCCGAGTTATCACTTTCCCCACAATCAGTGTTATGTAAACGTGTTGGTGTGATGAGGGTTTACCGAAAAGTATTCTTCACCCTGAACCGATTTATAAGCTTTCTTCTGTTTTGGGAATTGGTGACTTAAGTGGTTTATTACTTTTGACATATTTGTCGCACACTCCATTTTCTCTGCTGGGATGCGGGTTTGCACACAATAGGCACACCTATATCAATTAGCGAATACAAACGGGCTCACCAGTTACATCACCGGAATTCGTTCGCTAGCACAAACACGACTATAATCCTACAAACGCGTAGTGCAGTCTACACTGGATTTTGGTGCCATGATATATAGCCACCTACGCAAAACAGACGAAAGTTCCTAAGAAAACAATTCAGGTATTTTTATTAAAATGAGCGTGGGACGCTCATCAACGGCTAACTGTGAAGAAAGATGTCATTACCTCCAAGTTGACCCACTCTGGCTTCAACGACTGAGGAGTAATCTCACTCTTCTCTACAGTTCCATACATTTGTAAACCTTGTCGATATGTACGACTTCTTTTTACAGATCGATCTATTCTACTCGTCGTGGGAAGTAAATTATAGTATTACAGAATATCACTTAAAGCGTTTGCCTTAATTCCGTCCTAGTAAGGAGCGTTCATTACCGGAAAACGCTACCGCTGTAACCAAGGACAAACGCGAACTTCTCCACATTCGTTTGTCATCCACAGACTTTCGGTGACATATGAGCAAACTGTTCGACCCTCAGCATTAGGTGGGTGCGCTCATGGAACCTGGCCCGAACAACATACGGAACAAACAGCTTTCCAACCTACTGGCTGCTACTTATTCCAAATGTTGTTGCATGACTAATCAATATTGCATCCAAAGTTCATAATGAAATACCCATGATACTCGCTGCACATATACTGGTTCCCCAAGTGTGAACGCATCCCGCCTGTCGGGAAATCTCATTGTGTATTTATTTCTCATTTATCAGTTTATCTGCATCGCAACATTGATCGCTGTGCATTTAATGTCTTGGAGTCTTGGACAAGTTCTAACATTTGTTGTAGACTTACGATGGACCGTAGTTGCACACGATGGAGAAGCCATATGGAAAGGTGCCAGTTCTACTGCAGTCTCGAATACCGCATCCCACATGAGTTGTATCTGCCCAGACTAGCTGCAAAAGGAGGACAAAGTGTAATGGAGTTGAGATTTAGGCACACACCACAAAAGTACGCATTTCAGTGTCTACATAACATTGTTTCATGCTGAGGGATTTTGTGAGGCTGTCTTAGCGATTACCACCACAATGAGTCAGCAAACCGGCATGATGTTAAACATGCCGTCGATTTCTTTCCTCGATAAAACCAAACACATCACTTACTAACTGCTTGTTCCAAAGATGGGGAAGGCATACGTCCGCCGAGAAATTTGCCCATTTATTTATAAAAAGAAAGGCATATACCCATTCCATTTGTGTGCAGCTTAAATGAAAGGTGAGAATGCGGGACGGTATGAAGTGCTTAAACAAAGTCTATGAAAACAGCATCCACAGCCTGACCCGGATCTACAGCGTTCGCGCACCGTTCTCGCGACATCAGTGAATTAGTCAGCCTTTACGAAAGCTAGGTTGCAGCTGCCTAAATATCCAAAATTGTTTGCCGGTACATTTCTAAGCACCGCTAACATTTTGACCCGAACGCTCGCTAAACTCACAGGTCTGTAATTCATAGGTAAATGCTTGTCGCTCTTTTTAAAGACGGAACAGGTAACAGCCTGCTTCCAGTCCTCAGACAGAATACTAATCTAAAGCGACATTGCAAACGAACAAATGATGGGTCCAGAAAGTTTACCTGCTAGTTCGTTCAAAAACGCCAGACATTGTGACTTTCGGTGCCGAACCGTTTGCAGTGACTAATAAATGCACCGCCGTATGACAGGCAAACATGATCACTGGATACTAGGGGCACCATAAACTTGATCACGTAGCAAAGTCTCCTGGGTTTGCGAAGACCAGATCAATGATGGGCAGGGTCGGATGTCCCATAAACGTAGTGGTTTGATCTACCAAGTGGTGCAAAGGGAATTCCAGTGCTAAGTGAACAAGCTCAGCGGCGAAAACGGCAGCCCATGCACCCTTGAGGTCCGGCCAATTTACTTCAGGTGCATCGAAATCACCCTTAGCAGCGTTGAGTCCTAATCCCTCAGATGGCAACTTTGCACCAGTAGCTTTACGACAATGCACATATACCAAATGTCTGAACCTGCGGTTCCAGTTTTTATTTCGCTAGGTCACTTTTTTCATCATTAAGGTCAAACTAATCTGTCTCACGACGATCAAAACGCACCTCACGTCCCCTATTAGTGGGCAAACAATCCAACACTTGGTTACAACGCTAGGGGCTATCTTTCTTTCCACTTTCTGTGACCGGTATGTCATTGTTAAGAAGCACTCATCCCACACTGAAGTCTATACGCCAATGAACAAGATGAAAATACGAAACCGTGTACTCTATCCTCATATTACTATCTTGCCTTTATCCTCCCAGTATTCTTTAGGCGTAACCATGAAAGGCAACTGCTGGCATTGCGAAGCAATTTGGATAGAAGTGGTCAGTCTAACCGCTGTCGAATCAGCTTTGCTCGTTGAATTCATTCCAGCACGACGCCCCTAGGACACCATTGAGCCGTGCAATGTTTAGTCTAAAAATATGTAACAACGATTAAAGGTAGATTCACGTGAACAACGAAAAACGGTGAGATATACCTCACCGAAGAAGATGCTCAACGTGCCCACCGGCATTCTGCTCGCAGTGCAGAAATCGCCTGAGGCAATTGGCCAGAACCTTTTGCAAAGTTTCACTGTTGATGGCACGACATTTGTTGACAATCCGGTCCTTCAGTTGTTCCAGTGAAACAGGCGTTGTCTAGTATACTCTCCGTCTCAAATAACCCCATAGGAAAAAAGGTAAGGGGTTCAAGTCTGGTGCTCGGGGATGCCATAGCATAGCACCAGAGTGACCAATCCACCGGTGACCGAACATCTCGTTGAGATAATCACGCACCGTTTATGCACCAAATGGTGCTAGAAACACCATCAGCCTGCAGCTGCGGAATTACGCAGATCTGTGGACGATGCTAGGAAAGTTATGATATTAGTACATTAAAAAAGTATCGTACCGGTCACATTACTGGAAAAGCAAAAAGTCCGACAATTTTTTGACCAATTAGTCCGGCCCAACCCATTACTTTGGGACTGTGTTGCGTACTGGAACCTACGTAGTGTCGTTGATTTGACGTCACCTACAAGTCATGCTTATGTAATTTCGTGCAAGTAGAATATTGCCTCATCGGTAAAAATAATAAAGTAAATATCCACATGATGCAAGAACCAGCTGCAAAATGCGAGCCGCTTCTCCGGATCGCATGGGTTCAACATTTACACTTGACGTGCACCTAACCGACGAAATTTTCTTTCCTTCAAAATCCGGTGCACTGAGTAAGGGGTGGTGTCACAATTTTGAGCAATTGTACGAACGCTGAGGCGCACGCTTTCGGTCACTTCGCGGATAACGGCACTACCTGAACACTCATCTGTTGTGATCTGGGGCCGCCTTGTAGTTCGGGCGTTGCACACACTACCAGTGTCCTCGAACTTCGTCACCAGTTTTAACATACCGTCCGTTGACAGGCCGCATTCCCAAGGTTACGCTATTGTACCTTCTCGCTGTCTCGGCTACATTAATCCGGCACTCCCAATATAACCGAAGAATCACCAGGCGCTGATTATCCGCGACTTGACGTAACTGAGGTTGCATAAGATTCACCGAAGTGACTGTATCCTCGCGTCTTATAGCTGGAAAAGTTATCCACCTAAGAAAGAAAGGTTACCATGTGCCTAAAGTTCTCTGGAAAATCTAACCAATGTCTGGGCCGTAAATTTTTTTCCCGTCTGTCCACAACTATGAATGCTATCATTGACCTATGGGCTACCAGATCTCAGTGCAGAGAGAAATTCTTGCCCGAGGTACACAAGTTTACGGTTAAGCACACCACTCCGACTGGATAGCCAGACAAGGAATGCAAATTATCTGTCCCTCGTAGAGACGCGTGTCATGATGAATTGGATTGAACTCATACGGCAATCCGTTCCAATCGTACTGTATATGTACCTCGTGGAGTAGCTGGGATGCGCACGAAAACATTTAATGTTTATGGACGCCGACAAGGAGATGACTTGTAGGTCATTTAATCATGTTCAGTAAGCTCTTTTGAGGAATATTGCCACCACCCTTGACCTGACATCTCGAGACAGGTCGCAGGTTCCGGAGATTGCATCCGTTTTATGGATGTGACTTCAGTAAATGCAAGCAGGATATTAGTGTCCTGTTACTTGCGTTGAACGGTTCGTTTGGGTCCTAGCACAAAAATTAGCTGAAATATTTGACGAAGTTGGTCTTGTACCATTTGTGACAGGCTCTCGTAGGATACCTTCGGTAATTCACTTTGCTCAGCTCTGCCAACGTACTTGCTAGCGTAACCAAGACGAAAAAAAGACGAATTAAACATCTGGTCTGCTTTGGTTCAGTTTACATTGGATCTTTATAGCTTATTATAACAACCTAGCTCGGTGGCGTAATAACGTTTCATCACTCTAGGCGGTCCTAAAAATGTCAGAAGCTATTATGTTGCATTCACATAAAGACATCAGCCACTTATTGCTCTTCTGCTATTTTTGTTAGCTTGTATCTCACGCGATATCTATCCTTGCAACATATTGGCAAGGAGCTTAGTGTCCGTCCTTCGTCTGTGTTATCATAGTCCAGGTAAAGTCCAAAATAATTTTCATTTTTTTGCACCAGATGAATTAGTCCCTTCCGATGGCCCAGTGACCGTACTTCCTCTACTTTTCACAAGTTTGCTAGCATCCTTTGATTTCTCCTAATGCGCATGCGCTTTCTCTAGGTCACCCTTTCAGCATTCTGCCATGCCAGCACAGTCGGACTGTCCGGAATCTGAGGGGGACGGTCAGCAAACTTCCGAGAATTTGTAGATGGTTTGTTGCAATAGCAACCGTTAAATTCAAAATACAACTGAGCGTGATAGTGAGGACCTTTTGCCAAGGGAACTGACTCGTTTCCGTAAGGAATAGGTAACTTTTTATATAAATAAACCATTTCATTGTGTTTCGACTAACTTGCGTGTGATAGGTTCGTTCATGTGCGACAACCAAGGCAGAAGCTGGGGCTATGCTAATAGAAAATATACAGTAATGAGCATTGTCCTGTATTTCTTGCTATCCTAGCTCCACCTGGTAGCGCATGGAAGGTGCGCTGTTAAATCATTTGCTACAGTCTTTGACAACCAAAATCAGGTTTAATTGAGAAATATTTCGGACTCTCAGCGGATTGTTGTCGGTCTATCAGAGGACTCGCGACAACTTTCGAGGAAATATCGCGCTGGCTGGATGATATTAACATTACTGTTTCGGTTTTTGCTTTCCGCCCGCTGACTGCATGTTGCAAAACTAGTGAATAGTTTGGCCTTTTACATTGTTATGCACTATATAAACACGGTTACAGGGTTATTTTACAGATTCCTCCGTCCCAACCATTCTATGCTCAAACCATGCGTATAGACTATGTTTACAGATGAAAATAGCAAGATTCGTATACTCTTCATGTGACGTAATTACGTTTAACGCAGTTCCGTAATCACTGTTTATCTGGCTGTATCTTGCAAAAATTGGTATACGCTAGAACTCGCTTGCAACTCATGGACCAGAATTAGCAGGATCTGTGCTCTCATTGTTTTTGCAGTCTTGCGTTTCACATAACAAATAAACCTGCTGTCCGGGTTTCTGTCAATTTAAGATCGGGATATATTTTGTTGCACCCATGAAATGTGTCTCTTGTTCTAGAAATCCAGTTGGTGCCATGGCCTTGTACTGACTGGTAAACAGCTTGCCGTTTGGCTGCATTGTTTCTGCACTGTTCTTTCTCCTGATATTTCACATCGTCACCTTGCGTCAGCGCAATCAGCTCTCACTCATTCGGATGGTACATGGAACTAATTCCTACGAATCATGATTCCAACTATTCTAGCTCTCCTTTACGGTTCAAATTCTCAAACATACGCGTTCAACCTTTTCTTATTTGCATTAATTAATAAACGGTG